TAAAAATAAATGTCAAAATAAATGCAAACGACTGAGATACTAAAAAAAACTTGCAAAAGGATCTTTTTCAGATTCAAGTATGCCTTTTAATTTTCGCGTTGACAATTTGCATACTCAGTGAAGAAGCTTTCATCGGTTTCTATTTCGCAATAAAGTAAGAAAAATCGAATTGCATTAGCTATTATTGGAGCGCGGATTTTATGCATTCGTAGCATAAAATGAACAAGTAAAACGTGAAATAGTAAAAAGAAAAATTATTTAATAAAGGAAAACTGTTGTACTTGGCCCCATATGCCTTGCAATAGACAATTTATTATTTTGCACAAAGATTTGCGCGGATCAGTTATTACGAATGTCTGTTCGTCGAAAAATCCGAAGAATGCGCGTTCAATAATTGCGAAGGCTATCTCTAAACGCCGCAGTTCGCGTTCGAGCGAATATTTGAACTACAGAGGCAGAACTTGCGCGTACTTGGACGCCTTTTGATTTCGTATTCAGGGTATGTTGTCCTCCATGGCGTAGAGTGTAGAGTACTGCCTACCAGACCAGCAGGAATACGAGGTCCTGGAAGGACTTCCTCGGCAATCAGCGATGGTCCGCAGCCGCTGTTTGTCTTCGCGCGTGATTGGCGCCTTGCTTTGCCGCTTCTGTTTGGTCCAACGTCAAGGTGCCTTGGCATTCCCGTCTACGTGACTGTTTATTGACATTTAACTTCGGTAACGAGCGTACGCAGAGCTGACGTTGTTACAGGATTACTCAAAAAAGGTGTTTCCGCCTTGAGACGTTTCTTGTAGACAGCGGCTACCTTTCACTTACCGAACGTTAACTTTTGACACACGTTCAGCGCCGACAATCGACCAATAAGAAATGACCACAAAGTCAAAGCAACTCGATTAAGTAAACCGAAACTAGAAAGTTAATATTTATCATAGTGGACCACATTGGAGCTTTTTCGCATCCGTAATATCTTAGCCAAATTCAGGTCTTAATTACAATGAAAATGAATTTTCAAGATTGGTGAAAAATTAGGATCACCCATGTGTGACCGACGCGGCGATCAACGTGTTAAAAGCGGGTTTTCAAAATCGCCGTGGAAAATGTGGCAACTCAATTAATGTAGAAGAAATGATACGAATATGAGAATGACCAAGATTTCGATCTGTAAATATTGGGTTGGCAACTATGTCCTACTCGAAGTACTATTTTATTTCAATTGTGAAGAATCTATCTAAAATACTGTTTAAAATATTTTCTCTACAAATATTACCCAGCTCTGTTTACTCCACCAATTTTTATAAATTCCACAAATTATAATATCACAGTATTTGCAGTAATTCTCGTTGACGTTCATTGACTCTAACACAGAACAACTTGATTTTATTTTTTAAACAAAGGAGTTAACTTAAAGAATTAGAGTCAATCTAAAAGAGGAACTTTGAAAGAACTGCAATTCTTTTCTGAAAAAAACTGAACTCGTTCCTTCCAACAAACTTAAGCCGTTCGATCTATTGGGTTGGTAACTAAGTAATTGCCGATTTCAGTTATGTAGATGTCTCTCACACCCATTTTTATGATATCCGTAAATGTTATATTATAAAATTATTATTATTATGTTATTTTTTATTATCCGTGAATGTTAGCAACTGGACAAATTGAATGCAGCGGTCAAGGAAAAGCGACCAGAATTGGTCAATCTTAAAGGTGTCATTTTCCAGCAGGACAATGCTAGGCCGCACGCGTCTTTGTCCACTGGGCAAAAATTGATGGATATTGGTTGGGAATTGATGTTACACCCACCATACAGTCCTGATCTCGCGCCATCGGATTACCACTTATTTCGATCCCTGGACAACTCCCATCGTGGTAAAACTTTGAACGACGATGACGTTGTAAAATCTCACTTAACTCAGTTTTTGGCCGAAAAGGATCAGACTTTCTACGAGCGTGGAATTTTCAAGTTGTCAGAGAGATGGCAAAAGGTCGTCGAACAAAATGGAAAATACCTTACAGATTAAACTTCGTTCCAAGTAAAAGAAAATTTTTTATTTCATTGAACAAATCGGCAATTACTTAGTTGCCAACCCAATAGTAATGATAATTTTCACAATGATCATAGATAAAGTATTGCGACGATTAAACACTAGAGACACCAGTAAACGTTAAGACATTACTATAGCGAGTAACCTCGATAGTCATCGTCCTTCTTAGCATTTCGACAAATTTGAAAATTCATTTGTACGCTGATCGATTATACTTCTTTGATTTTATTAGGATCTGCAAAACGTGAAAATGTTAAAAATGTAATTGTTGTCACGCAACTGAACATTTCAATGCGAATTTAATCAGAGTACTTTAATTTTACAACGATTTTGAGGTTGTTGGCAGTCGAGTTGTTAATGCCTTAACTTTCGCACTCCTAAGTGCTCGAGGTATGTTAAATTAAGAAAGAATTGTTTTAAACCGCATCAATTTTATTAAATTTGAAACTATGTTTCGCTTTCTGTGCATGTACAGGAGCTTTCATCATCAGCGAATCGAATGACGTTGATTTTCTCTTCGTAATCATATGGAAGCAAGTTTAAACGTTGTTGCACAGTTGTAGAATGACACGTGTCGATAAAAATTAATGCATTTACTCTTTGGTGCACAGGATTTCAGAGAATAAAATAGACTTTGTGTGGCACAGAAATTTTGTTGCGTTTTAAATTGAACAAAATTGGTATATTTTTATTAACAAGGGAATCACATAATATAAAATCATAAAAAGGTGATAATAATTCAATTCAATTTGTTGTTACAGTGCCACATGGGTTCGTGAACGCGCATGCAGCTATTGCAATATTTCGAGATGTGTCTGAAAATGTTCCACCATGCATTACCGTGTATGAAAAAGATGAGACATTTTTAATCCCACCGTGCCTCAAAGAGTTAAAGAAGTTAAAGTAAAATTTACTTTGATTTAGTTTATGGTTTGCATTTCCGTCTTTTCGGCGAGGTGAACCAAATGGAATGAATTTATAACGCTTATTCAAATGTAGTTTGCCAAGGGAAATTACAGTGAGTGTAGAAAGTATTCGTACACCTTTTAAAACAGAATAACTTTTTTATAATTAGGCAAAGGGGTCTACATTTTTTGGGGATGATAGTGGGATAGTTTTTTAAATTTTCGTTATACGCTCAGATAAAATAATTGAAACAAACATCATTTTTCAATATTTTATCTCGCCAACGAATTGCAATTTTTGAAAATAATTTTTTAGCCCTTGTCTAGTAAAGTAATCACTCTAACATCCCCCCCCCCAAAAAAAAAATTTAGACCGCTTGACCTAATTATAATAATTTTATTACGTTTTAAAAGGTGTACGAATACTTCCTACACCCACTGTACTGACAATAACTGACGAAATAATAAACATCTTCCGAAAAAGGAAATTGTTTTTTAGTATCTTTAGGTTAGAAAAATGTAGACAAATTTTACAACCTTCTACGTGCGGATATCAACAACAGATTAAAGCACATCCTAAAAGCTTGCACATTGAACACTTGTAAATATCTTACGAACAATATGCTATTGATGTCTGATTTTTGCAAATATTTTCGTACATAATTTCTCATTATTTATAAACCTGTTACATTGAAATATCTGTTGCTCGTTTATATACATATTACGTTCAAATATGTGTCAGTTATGTTGTATCATGTTAGAATGTGCGTCACCAGACACCCAGTAATTCTTAGTAAAAAATATTTCGAATAAAAATGAATCAGTGCGGAGTTTCTAAAACGTTACAATACTGAATATTGATAGAAAAGATTTTTCGATTCCGTAAGAAAAAAAAAACAAAATCATTGCGATCTTCTTCAACATAACTGTATATCATTTACATGTAAATCGATTCTTAGGTCGAAAAAGAATTAGTTTAAATCAGGAGTGTCAAACTCGCGGCCCGAGATGAACATTTTTGATGTCAAGTATCAGGACGTAAACAACAATTTAACATTATATATGTTTATTACAATGAACTAGTCAAAATAAAAATATTTGTTTCTATGAACATCGATTCGTTTTAAATTCAGTCGATCGATGACCGAATGGATGATTACTGAAAAATGAAAAATGATTGCTTAATTTTATTAAGATTTGCAAAAACTACGAATGCTGATGAAGTAATTGACGCCATATGTTTGTTTTGTAACTTTTGTTCAATTGAATGAAATATTTTAATTTTATGAACATTTTTGAGGTTTCTAGCGCGGTCGTGGAAGTGTTAAGCGTTGTTTATTCGGCCCAAGTTAGCTTTTGAGTTTGACACCCCTGCTTTAAATGTTACGAATATTGTCCGGAGCACCTATAAGATCGCATAAGATCACCGTGCGTCGCCTAAATCAGCCATACACACACGCGTGTCGTTGTTTGCAATCTCGAGTACGGAGTCCTAGACTCGGGGGGCGCGTGTCAACATAGACTAAACCGGTACATCGTCTAATAACTCCTCCCCCCCGCCCGCGCAAATCACGAGAATTTCGAACAAATTCCATCGGTCCATGTGTTGCCGAATTTATGGATTCCCTTTGGTAGGCCCGGCACAATTCACGAGCGCGCGAGAATTTTCCTAGCGGCGCAGGGTGCTGCCGAGCGCGCATGTGCGTGCATCTACATACGCGGGCACACACGCGCACGCACACGTACGTAGGTGTGCACAGTGGTGGCCTTGGGTGGTGCGTGTGATACGAGGTCCTGTAGGAATTCACTGCTGGGCGTAAATTCTCTGGCCTGGTCTCCTCCACCATCTAGTTGCCGGCTCCCTTTGGGGTGGACTCTAAAGTCCACCCCCTTAGAGCTGGCCGTCCGACCGGCCACCCCATATTTCTCGGTCTCTTTCCCTCTCCCGGGCTCTCTCCCGGTCTCTCCTCTGACCATCCTCGCCGCCGCCTCCAGCGACAACATTCTGCAGCCCGACACGAGGGTGACCACCCCTTCCGAGAGAATGGACCGAGGACAGTGACGCTCAAGCTCGCGCGCTTACCGATCGCCCGGCCGCGATAAGGAATGTTTCTTTTTTTATCGCCGTGTCTTTTTCTTTCCGCGTTACCGGCCTCCCCACGGGATTACTTCGGCTTTATTGCTTTTAATTACTTGACACGGGTTGGAAACCGCGCGCGCAGAACCCGCGGCAATCGCCAAGGAGGTGTTGATGCTTGGCTGGATACGCCTGGGGCGGCGCGCTGCCGGCAACCTGCGGCTCACTTTTCTTAGACACCGCCACGATGTCGGAATAACTTTTCAATTTATTTCATTAAGATTCTACTTTTGCTTCGCCCGCGACACCGCCGAACGCCAGCTCGATCCTTCGAGCGCGTCGATCTCCCGTCGCGGTTCCTTCGGAAACGTTCTTTGGAAATGTCCGGCTACGCGGTACAGGCTCTCGTTGGCGGGCGTAACTATTCACGTAAATTGTTGGAGTAATATTAATCGACTAGGTTGACAAATTAGGACCTGTTCGAGGCCGCAGTTTAAGGACCTTCGCGATTTTGAAGTGGTACGTGCAGTATCCGTGAGTATGACTTTTGTTACTTATGTATATATAAGTAATTGTTACTTGTATGAAAAGTCAAAAACACGTTTTTCTCTGGATCATTCACATCTGTATCTTAAACCAGAATTACTTGAAAATCATCGGAAGAGCGCCGGTTATCATTGCTTCGGTTATCGATTTTTTCCTTTGGTTCTAATTTCTGCAACAATCGGACGTTTGTAAAATAATAAAGTATGCATTTAATGACCTGACAGAATGTTCGGAACCACTGTTACCATGAGGTGATTTTTACAAGCGATTAAACAACGATGTACACGACCAGCATATTTGCATTTCTTGTTCAGAAAATTTTAAACGTGTAAACGACTGCCGAGACTTGGCCTGAAAACGACGCTGCAACGCCTTCGTCGAAGAATCCCCTAAAAGATTTAAAAATACGCTGTTCACACTAGAATGCCCCTTAAAGCGTGTTCCTGCTTGGATGGCTTCGAAAAATCGGTACCTAAAGCTTTTCCACTGTTCGTTCCAGATCGCGGCGACTGCCAATTGGACGAAGATTCGACGGAATTACAATGGCAATGCAAATAAACCTGGAATATAATCGCGCCACCTTATCAGCGCGCAGAGATTCCACGCACGTACGTACGGAGAACATCCTGAGCCCGGTAAGTGGCGTATGGAGATATCCGAAGGGGGGATTGGATAGCTCGAATGGTTCGCGAGGGTGCCGGTGAAGGGTGGTACTGTGCCGCCGAAGGGTGAAGAAGCTCGGATACAGAGAGGCAAGGAGAAACCGTGAGACACTGAAATGGAAGACGATACGGAAAACGGAAGGGAAACAGGATAGACAGAGAGCGAGGGAAGGAGGAAGAAACGGGAGAAATGAGAGCACGCGGAATGGGAGAAAAGAATTAAAGAAAAGAAGAAAGCGTGGGTAATGAGAGAAGAACGTGGACTCGAATATCGTCCTCTAGTTTCACGATGGTTGTCTTTCTTCCCGGTAGTCAGGCTTCAAAATGTGAGCCGTTTATTTTGAAAGTGGCATAAGAGAGTCACTTTACCGTAATGAAAAGTGGTGATTTTGTTCATGTTTATACGAAATTATTTATACTGAGAAGAATATCAGTATCCTGAGACAATAAATACAAGTAAATCTTCATATTTTTAAATGTGTTAAAACGCAAACCCTTAAATATATCGACTTAAAAACAAAGTGACTTATGCCACTTTCAAAATAAACGGCTCATATGTTACTCCACCGTTCGATGGAGTAGTGAATGTTAACAAATTATAATTTAGCATAGGGTTAGTCCGCGTGAGTTCGGCTAACGGTAGAGACCTGTGTGCCAGTCTAAATACAATAATTTCCTCCTAATTCGCGCTAAAATTGCGCACAAAAGTGGACAATTCGGGAAGAGAAGATGCGATTATTCGAACCTAGTTTTATGGTTGTTGACAATCGATGAAAATAAAAACGAACCGGAAGGCTCGAATAATTGTATCTCCTCTTCCCAAAATTGTTCATTTTCGTGCGCAACTAAGCTCGAATTATGGAGAAATAATTGAGAAATAATCTTTCAAAATTGTTCATTTTTGTTTCTCAGCGTCAATCAGAGAGAATTTACTGGATACAGGGTGGACCGCAGAACGTGATCAGCTTAATTTATTCTGCTGCTACTAGTTTTAATTGGATATTTTTGCGCAAAAATTACACGATTTGAGGGGAGCTTTAAGACGATTGTGTACCAAATTTTTTGTCAACCCTTCTTTTCCGGAGTTATCAAGGTTTTTTCATAGATAAACCTACAATTGTTCTTTAGATTTGGAAAAAATTATATGTTATGATTGCAGAATTCGTCTCAGCAAAGGATGGGTACAGAAAAATTGTAGGTCAACCTAAATAAAACTGAAGGTGACATTGACAACTCCGGAAAGAAAGAGTTGACAAAAATTTGGTAGAGAATCATCTTAAAGCTTTCCTTAAACAATGTTACTCAAATCGAAACATTAGCCACAGAATAAATTAAGCTGATCACTTAAAATCGACTTAAAAACAAAGTGACTTATGTCACTTTCAAAATAAACGGCTCATGTGTACGTCGATGTTGCAAGCGATGAAAGAACGCGAGAGAGAGAGAGAGAGAGAGAGAGAGAGAGAGAGAGCTTGTTGAAAGTCGAACTCGATGAAATACGTGACCAGCTCTCGATCAGGCAAGAAATTATTCAGAGAGTCAACAATACGCAGAAACGAAGATGACCGCTTTCTTCGTAGTTCCGTCGACGAAGTCAACGGAAAGTTCCTTTCGAACAATTTCAGCCAAGTTTCCGTTTCACGTATGCCGACAGGGTTTGACCAGTTACAATGCTCCAGATTTGTTTCACATATCATTCGTTGAATCGATCCTTCTAACTTTTTATAACCTTGACAATTACTGTCACATTATCTCGCAGTTGCGACTTTTCCGCTCGGAAAATAAATTGTGTTCGATGTTAAATTTCAACCCGGTAGGCAGAACGTTTGATCTTTAACCCCTTGATATACGATTTTCCTCGCAGTTGTTGCGATTAGAAATTTTTCGATTGCAATGATTTCGTAGAAGGGAAAGCAAATTGATGCTTATTGCTGTGCGCCTAAATTTACCTGAATGCTTAAATATTGATCACACGGGATTAGAATTTTCTTCCAATTTTAAAGGACAGAATAAAATCTACACTTAATAAGTTATTATTAGAAATTTTTATGACGAGTCGGACTCGTCGAAGTACGGCAAGGGGTTAATTAGCAGTTGAAATTCAAAGAGACGCGATACAAAATCCTTTCGCATTGAGAATGGTGCGTGTTTCTCGATTCGAATTTTCAAAAATCAGACATCAAATTTTACTGTCATCGATCTTTCGTAATTTAATCTCGCGAATCGATCGAATCAGTTTTAGAGAACGTCGCGGTAAGCTTTTCAGATGATAGAGGCACCTTTTTAGACGATAGGCCAACCCAATACGTCTGCATTTACGGTATTTGAATGTTTATATTTAAATACTAGCGGATAGTATATACGTAATAGTATGTTCGTAATTACTGGACCGCGGATTTTATGCGTTCGTTGCAGAAATGAGTGAACGAAACGAGCGGAAAGAGACAAGAGAAGAATCTTTGCATTTAACTTCAGCATTTCGCGATTGAACGAACAGAAGGAGAAAGAGGCGTACATCTGAATGGCGTACATTAAATCTGCGGTTGACAAACTCTGAGCGATAGACGGAATGGAAACAGAATCGTTAATCTTCGGACAATTACGGCCGGTTGATGGCGGCGCGACTCGATCCCGCGATCCACAGTCCTCTCGATCCACCCGCCACGAAGAGGGAACGTCCAGTTCGCTCGAAGGCCGACACTGCTCGCGGGCTAATATCATGGTTGAGCGACAACCGGCTAATTCTTGCTTGGGGCCAATTCCGGCCGCGTCCTTGGGTGTGCTTTTGCCGGTTTAATAATGCAGTGCGCCACTGTGTCAGTGTGCCAATTCCTCCCTGGGCAGCCGTGGCATGGCGACAAGTCGCCGCGATGCAGTCTTTCCGCCTGAAACTTTCATCGCCAGCCGACATCCCTTATTTAGTCGCGACGGTGACAGGACTTCGAATAAGAGTACAGGATTTCAGGCAGCTGAATCTTGGGAGTGTCGGGACATTTGCGAGCCTCGCAAAATCGGTAAGTTATTCTTGTTGCACTCTGGACGCGCTCGTTGCGCGGAAACTTGTCACATGTGTTCCGATTAGTACCTAGTTGAAAAGACCACCAATCTGTGTGCAGCTGACGGCATGTCAGAGGATGACGATCCTTATTTTTCTTCGTTCGTCGCTTTGAAATGCTTTTGACGCTCGTCGGCTTCTTGACATTATCGGCTAGCTTATTCTGTTAAATTTTGGTCAAACTAGTAGTATAGTTTCTTCTTATAAAAGATTTCTTCTATTTCTCAAATTTCAAATCCACTTTCATAGATTCGCGGGATAATTGAAACTGACAGTGCTATAACTGATTCAATTAAACGGTAAAATGTCGCTGACTGCGACACGTAAAATCGTCAACGCTAGAAATTAGTGAGCTTTTATCTGCCTGCTTCGTTACGTTTGCTGCGTACGATTTTGCGAATCGGTCATTTAGCATTTATGACGTAGTAATTGCTGGCAATGTTAATGTGCAAACCTGTTTAATATTTGATCGAGCTTCGAGGCATCGACTACGGCTCATCCGTTATTTAGAAATGGTAGAAATCTTAATGCGCCCTTCCCAGCCGGGTCGCCAAAATTCAGAATTTATTTATCCCACGTTCCGGCTTTTAGCGAGCAGATGTCCGAGTCGGTTGTTTGACCGGCGCAAAGAAAACACTCATTAAAGAAACTCCATTAGACGCGAAGTCTTTCTTTCTGTGGCCCGTCTTCTTTATTAAGGTAACTGCAAAGTGAAGTGAAAGCAAAAGTATCTAAATATTTAGTCTACGAAGTGTTAGACGAAGTTTCCGGTTGTCTAACCCGCTCGTCCCAACTTCTCAATTCTTCTTGGACTTTCACGTAGATCAAATACTGTTACAGAAATTAATGTCGTCCCGTTAGCTTCTTATTCGTGGAAAGAAATTACTTCGCGATACATATTACCGTTGCGGTTTGCCACGGCGACTGACGTCAAGCGTTCTATTAATACAGGAGAGAAGAAATGACATCCAGTTGTCATGTCAAAGATTCACGTGCACATGACACTGCGTGTCTCGATCGCCAAAATCTGCGACACGTGTCCTGCAGAAATAACAGCAGTTTAACAAATCGGTGTATTTAATAATCTCGCTCTAAACTCTTCATTTACATTCTCAATGTAAAACAATGTAAAACGATGCAATGAATATTTTGCTTCGAGAAAATTAGCAACGACGAACGTATTCTAATTTCACTTCAGAATTAAATTACTTGCTAAGTTTCTTTCAAAGTTAATGCGATTTAAATCGCTGTTTCCATCGAAAAATTACTTAGAAAACGTCTCATCGTTAATGGTAGACTTCGAAAAATTATGAAATCATCGTCTGTGTTTAGATAATATATATATGTTAATTAGTATTTCGTAAATTACTGAACTTAATATTAATATCTCGAGAAATGACTGAACTTAATATATTAATATTTCGAGAAATGAGCCGTTTATTTTGAAAGTGGCATAAGTCACTTTTTCAAAAAAATCGAGTTAATGGTAACACTAATTACAATTGAACGGTATCTTTCCATTTTAAAAAAATTTGCAATCAATAAGTTGAGGACTATTGAGATTTGTTCGAGAGAAGCTTTGCTAATTAATGGTATAACAAACATGTTTATTTTGAAAGTGGCGTAAGTCGCTGTATTCGGGAAATTAATTGCGGGGCTTAGTGTAAAAGAAATAGAAACGTGTGATAAGTGTGTGCGAAGTATTGTTTTGAATTATTTTCAGTATTTTTAAAAAAGTTGCGATCACACTGAACTTATTTTTACAAGTGCGAAAGAATAGTGCAGTTTTGTAAATTATATTATAGTGATGTGGCGGCTACCTCCAAACCCGCCAGCAGATGGCTATAAAATGTTTTATAAACTAACTTTAGATGAAAAAGATGAATTTCTAACTTTGGATTTGTCACCAAAAAGAGGAAGATCTAGGCGTTATTCACAAATAGAAATGAATCCGTTATACGCTGGATCTCG